ATTGGTATAATCACTGGGGAGCAAATGTGGTTGCTCAGGGAGAATACTTGACTGCAAGGAAATGAAGCAAGTGCAAACTGGCAATGCATGAGGGTTTGAACGAGCCAATAAAGAAGATTGAAAAAGCATGATCAGAGTGGGAAGAGAACATGAAAAATGTCAAGGAAGGAGGACCTTTCAATAGGATGCATTTATGGAATTCCAGGGAAAGAGCCAAATAAACCCATACTAAACAACCCTGAAACTAGATTGGGCCAGAGTTGACTCCAGTAGTCCTTAGTTATTTTGCAGTCTTTTCAAGTAGCTTTCTTATTCCTTGAGGTCTCTTTTATTTCTGCAGTTTCTTAGCTTTATACAATCACTTCCAGATTTAATTCCATTAATACTCACATTGTATGACTATTTCAATCTTTTTTTTTTCATCTTCATGAATCAGTCAACATTTACTGAGCACTTACTGTATACCAAGTTCCATAGCTGTTGGGGCTGTGACGTTGAACATGATGTAGCCCTTACAGCTGAGAAGCTTAAAGTATTGTTACTAGTTTATTTCTCTTTGTTACATTGGACTTTGCTCTTCACACTTTCTTCTTTTCCTAATTCCTGACTTCAGTATTCAGTTGGTTGACCCAGACAAACTAGCATTACAATTCCTTGAACATTTCTTTATGAGTGCTCTTTACTTACACCTTTAGCATCAGGTTTGACCTTGTTATTACCCATAATTTTTATATGCTAGTACAAGTATAGAAATGTAATTATAGCTAGATATTAATGGTTTTATGTTAGTATATGTTATTCTGTTATTTGCACAACCTTTATCCTTTATTATAATTGACAAGTAAGTAAATTAAATTTTGTATACTTATTTTCTACATTCAGTTTTTTTATGTCATGTGTACATAATTTAAAAAATCAAATATGTTATCTCTTAACAGATTATGAGACTTGTTATGAAACAAGTAGTCACTCCACTAATGGGTATTGGGTTTTTCTTTTTTTGGTAAATAAAAATGTTCTAAAATTAGATTTTGGTGACGTTTGCACAATTCTGAATATACTAAAAACTGTTGAATTGTGTACTTTTGATAGGAGAATGGTGTGGTATATGAATTATTATATCTCAGAGATGTTTTTAAAAAGTAATCACTCTTACCACTTCTCTGTCCATTTCCTCTTCTCCAGAGGCAACCATTTTCAACTCCAGATCTGTAGATTAATCTTCTAGATTGCCACTTGATTTTTTAAAAGTTTAATGTATTTTCTGTTGGCTTACCACTGTGGAATATGAGGATTTAACCCTCCTTGCTCTATTGCCCTCATCACACCCTCACCTTCCTCTCATTTCTCTATCCTCCAAGAATGATCATATTGTAATTTTAAATTACTATTCAGTGTTTTCATTGTTATGATTATGTAATCACTATTCACAATTGAGCCATGTAGCATACTCTTATTTTCCTTTTCTGTGCAATATTTTATTTTACCTAGAGGTAATGATTCTTATTTTGTAGTCAACCACAAATCTTCCCCCAGTTGTGAATCTCCTTTCAATACATCCAAGCACATTAAGTATTCTGTCAATCATGTATATGTCAGAAATCTCTCAGATCATTATGACTTGCTCCAATCCAAATTGGTTGGTTTTACTCTTTAGATTTATTCCATAGCTCTAGGGTCTAAAACTATCTTTTCATCACCTTGGAGTTTCTTTTGTCCTTTTTTTGGTTGGTTCCCTGTATCCTTTATCTTCCTGTTTCTTCTTTTACCCCCCCAATTTCAGTGGAGCACATTCTTTAAAGTCTTCCTGTGAAGGAGTGCATAGGAGGAAAATTTTTCAGACCCTCTCTGCCTAGAAATGTTTTTATTCTGTTCTCATACTTTATTACAGTATTCTATGTTGGTGAATAATTTTCTTATGGAATTTTGGAGGCATTGCTCCATTGTCTTCCGGCTTTTATATAGTGCTGTTGTTTGAAAGTCTAATGCCGTTTTTGTACTTAACTCTTTATAAGAAACTTGGATTTTCTCTTAGGAATTTTATAAAATCTACTTGATATTCCTGCTCTTCTAGCTTTCTGTGATGATGCATGTTGCTTCTAGTTTTGTTTGTTTTATTGGGTACTTAGTATGCCTAGAAACTTAACCGTTTTTTGGGAGAAAATGTTCTTATAATTATTTTATTAATAATTTTCTTTCCTCCATTTTTTTTTTCTTGATATTCCTGCTCTTCTAGCTTTCTGTGATGATGCATGTTGCTTCTAGTTTTGTTTGTTGTATTGGGTACTTAGTATGCCTAGAAACTTAACCTTTTTTTGGGAGAAAATGTTCTTATAATTATTTTATTAATAATTTTCTTTCCTCCATTTTTTTTTTAATGTTCTCTTGTTTGTTGTCTATTTGGATATTGTTGTTATTGGTTTGGTTTCTCTCTCTCCCTTTTTTATTTTCTATTTATTTTTCTTTTTACTCTACTTTTTGGTAGATTTACTTAAATTTATCTCCTAATCGTTTAGTTAGAGTATTTATTTCTGCTTTCTTAATTTTAATTCCCATGAGCTCTTTATTTTTTAAACCACTTTATTGTGGTATGGGTGACATACAAAAAGCTATACATATTTAATGTATACAGCCTGATGAGTTTGGAGATAAGTATACACTCATGAAACAACCACAGTCTATGCCCTAAACCTATCCATCACCTCCAAAAGTTTCCTCCTGCCCTGTTTATTATCTAAAATAGTCAAACTCAGAAGCAGAGCGTAGGATGGTAGTTGACAGGGACTATGGAGAAGGGAAAATGGGGGATCTTAGTCAAAGGGTACAAAGTTTCAGTTTTGCAAGATGAGTAAGTCCTAGAGATCTACTGTACAGCATAGTGCTTATAGTTAGTAATATTCATGTTAAGTGTTCTTATCCATGAAATCTTATTTGAATGTTCTTTTCTGGTAATTTTTTATTTTTATTTAATGGATACTATATCTTCTCTGAGGATTGTAATGATCTGGTTTGTTTGTTGTTTTTGTTTTTCTAATTTTTTTTTTAAGATTTCTGTTTATTGCATCTTCTTTGTTTCCCTGCATGTTGCTTTCTTCTGTTTATTTTGTCCTCTGGTTTTCACATTAGAGACATTCCTTGAAGTCCCATAGTTTTGGCTGTCTGGCTGTCTGCTCACATTTTATAAAGAGAACCAGAGAACTGATTAAAAAATTTGGGCTTGGGGCTGGCCCGTGGCTCACTTTGGAGAGTGTGGTGCTGATAACACCAAGGTCACGGGTTCGGATCCCATATAGGGATGGCCGGTTAGCTCACTTGGGTGAGCGTGGTGCTGACAACACCAAGTCAAGGGTTAAGATCCCTTTACCTGTCATCTTAAAATTTAACAAAAAAAAAAAAAAAAATTGGGCTCATGGGTAAAGCTATTGACTGTGACGTTTTAGGATGATCTCACTGAGATATTACATTAGGTTACAACCCACCTGCCCATTCCAATGTAGAGATTCTTTAGTCTTTCCTCTAGGACTGGCCATCTTTCCAAACGAAGGCTCAAAAGAAGATTCTATTCTGCTATCTGACTTTCAAAATTCTGGAAGTTATATAGGGAGGAAAGAAAAGGGGCCTTAATTTTCAGTATATAAGCATTCACTTAGATTCACTGAGAATCAGTTCAGAACTCCAACCCTTGATTCTGTCATATATCTCCTAGGCCAGAGATACCTTGTTTTACTCTCTTCAGAGATTAAACCTCGGATTGGGGATGAGAAAGGACGATAAATGGCCTGAATAGAGTAAGAAGGTATCAAGAGGCCTAAGTGCTTCTCAGGCAGACTTCCCACCTATCTTCCTATTTCAACTTCATTTTACTCCCAGTGCTATCTGGGGCCACCGTTCCAGGCCCTCTTGGGGATGCCTGTAGTATTAACTGTGGCTTCTGGGCTTTCTGTGCTGTTTTTCTCAACTTCCTTAGCAGTTGAAAGATTGAAGTGTGTTATCAATTGTTCATAAGCTTTTCTGCTTTTGAATTTTAGTTGTTGTTATTTCTTTTCCCAGATATTAGTCCTTGTAGATTTATGCTATTTTTAAAAATCTCTTTATTCTCATTTAGTGGAACTTTAGAAGATAGTGAAAATTAAAAAAAATGCTTATGTCCAATTCACCATCTTCACCAAAAAGGACTCTACTTCTATTTTTTTTTTCTTTTCCCTTTTTGTCTTTTTCACTGACCGGTAACGGGATTGCAACCCTCGGTGTCGCGCCCGTACTGGGGACCGGCAACGGGATCGCAACCCTCGGTGTTGCGCCCACACTACGCTCAGCCAGTGAGCGGGAACCGGTCTCCACATGGGATCCGAACCCTCGGCGGGAGCGCCGCCGGCGCACTCTCCAGTGCGCCACTGGGCCGTCCCATCTATTTCTATTTTTAATCTCAAAGGCTTTACAGTTTTTCTTCAACCTTCACTATAACTCTTAGTGGATTTGTTTTTAAAATATGATAGAAGCTGTCTTAACTGACCTTCACAAAACTGGCATGCCAGATTAATGAATGCTCTCTATTCCTTCTGTAAAATACATTGTGGATGCCCACTGCAAGAAACAAAAGCTACTCTTACATATATCTGTACACTTCTTCCACCAAATGAGTTATGTGTGCTTTCAGGAGTCGCTTTATTCCACTTTAAAGAAATAGAAGCTAGAAATAGTAGTTGATACATTGAAGATGTGGTTATATAAGAAGATATCACGGAACTCTAGTGAGCCACATCAAAAGTTAATGAATGAGTACATATAGTTTTAATTTAAAATAAAAGGTTTATGCTTTGTAATTTTTGTTATGATTCTCTGCTTTCAGTTAAATGAACTACTAGTTTCCAGTGCATTGAGTAGCAGCTTGTTTTATAATAACTTAGAAATTTCTTTATATCCTGTGGGCCTAATGTATGGTTCTACCATGTTCTGTGCTTAATTTTCACATATTCAATATGATAATTGTTTTTCTTTAGTTCCAGATGTTGAAGTGAAAGGAGAGTATTCCAGCTATTATCTCTTGTTACAAGGTAATGGCAATAGAAGATGTAAAGCCACCTTAATTCACTCAGCCAACCAGATCAATGGCTCATTTGCACTCAGTTTAATTCACGGAAAGATGAAAACAAAGACAGAAGAAGCCAAATTGAGTAAGTATAAACTTTACATAGAAAAACATTTCTACATTTGTTTATGTGTGGAGTTATGTGGTTTTAAATAGAAGTATTATTAGACATTTAATTAACTTGTTTTCCCCAAACTTCATTTCTCTATCATTAATTTACCTTTTATTTTAAAATAACACATTTTTACAATTTAGAGTGTAGAGAATTAGTTATTAGGTTAGACTTCAATTCCAAATATGAAACTTTTGGTATTTTCTACTTTAAACATATTATTTTTCTACAATTTATTTCTCGTTTTTATTTACTTTCTCTCAAGCCTCATGTTCTATTTTATTGCCCATCTTTCTCTTTTCTCTTCAACCTCTATGTTTTGGTTCTCTATTGTTACATGAAAAACTATCCCAAATTTAGCTTAAAAACAATTTACTGTCTCTCATGGTCCTGCGGGTGGAGTGGGCTTAGTTGGATGTTTCTATTTTGAAGTCTGACGTAGATTACAATCACATATCGCTAGGGTTCCAGTTACTTGAGGACCCCACAGTGCTTGGTGTCCACGATGGCTTCTTCATCCCTATGTTTGTTACCCCGGGCTAGGATGACTGGAACAGATTAGGGCTGATATTCTCTTCATCTACCCTTTCTCCACAGCCAGCTTGGGCTTCCTAACAGTGTTGCAGTCTCTGGCTAGTCTGATTGCTTTTATGCTTGCTGACTTCTTAGAGCAATTGTTCTAAGAAGCTGCAAGGCTGTTTGTGACCTGGTCTAGAAGTCATTCAGTACCACTTTCACTATACCTTATCATTTACATGTTGTGAAGCAGGTTTGCTAATTACCAATCCCAAGGGCGGATTCCCATGGTGTAGAGTATAGCAAAGATCATTGTGCCAACTACCAGGAACAGAAGTTCTAATACTTCTGCCCACTGCATCCTGGGCTACTGTTTAGGTCCATTATGCACTGGTTACTAATTTATCTGAGTCCAATTAGACAGAACATACTCACACACAAGTTATGTGGAGTAGGTTTATTACTTACAGACAGGCAGCAAGGGACATAAGAAGCCTAGGATCCATTGTGAGTTGGTCCCCCAAAGTCCAAGAAAGTTGCCAGGGGCAGATGGAGTCTTGATGGCCTGTGTTCTACTTGCTGAGGGACCCCAAAAGGCAGCCTGACCAGGTTGTATACTTCAGGGGTTATATGACTTACTGGGCAAAGCTTTGAAGAACATCCTGCTTCTAGGGGAGAGAAGAATAAAGCCCTGCTGTCCTGAGCAGTTTCTCCTTATCTCAAAATGTTGCATTTCCTGGGAGGGACAGGAACAAAGCCTGAACGATTTCCGGCAGTTCCTCCCTATCTCAAGATAGTGCATTCCCAGCGCATTCTACAGTCATTCTGAGTACTATAGGCAGGAAGAAAAGAGGGAGACTGCGTTGGCCAAGACTTTCCTGGGACCGTCCAGCATGTAGGTCTAGCTGCAGTCATTGTGGAAGGGGCTGCACAAGGGCAAGTAACAGGAGGAGTGGGTCATTTGAGGCATGTGGGTAGAGGTATCTTTAGAGGCTAGCTACCAAATGCCTGTGTTTTCTGAGCAGTTAGAAGAAAATATGATACAGTTAATTCTACTCTGCTACCTAAATTCCCTCAACTTGAGAATCAGGTCAAAGTTTAAAATGCAAAATAATTAAGTATGCTTATCTTCTGCAGCTTAATTATTATTATTTACTTTGAATTATACAAGGTCAAGAGAGGTGAGTGACTGGCTGTTTTTTCTTAAATTATGTCATAACATATTCCTTAGGAACTGAATATTAATTGTTGGCATAGAACATCTTTAACGTTGACTTTTTTCTGTTTCATAGGCTTTCCTTTTGACTTATCGCTTCCACATTTTTTGGGAGAACAGGTTGTACAGAGAGAGAAACAGTTAGCTAATATTCAAATTTTGGCTTTGAAAGAATACCTGAGTAAGTAATGATTTGTATGCTTCATCCTGCTGTAAGAATGTTGACTTGTACAGACATAAGCTGTCTTTATTTGCACACTTTTTTTATACACTTTATCTTTTAGGTATGACACTCATTGATAAAACTAATCTTGGTAGAGATGATGTGGAGTAGAAGAGGTCTGCAACTTTGTTTTCATTGGATTCAGAACATTCTGAATATTTATTTGTATGCCACTGTTAACATTTGTAAAAATATTTTGCCAGGCAAATTTTGTATTTCAAAATTTGTTTATTTTTAACTGTGTGCTAGGAAAGATTATGTAAGTATTATCATTCTGGTTAAATCTCTTCATAAAATTTCTCTTTCTGTATTTTTGGTAGCAAAAAGATAGAGACTGGAAATAGAAAAAAATGCAAGTCCAGAGAAATTAATATGTTAACTTGAGCATTGATTCTTTGAATTTAATCATCACACTCAATATTAACTAAGCTCATTTCACGTTCCAAGTGAGGTTGTCATTATGGATTTTCCTTATTTGGGAAATTAACATACTCTTTTCAAGAGTCATATTCAAGAGTCATAATTTAAGGTTTTTCCTCTATTATTAAGTGTTAACTTGATTAAAAGTCTTAATCTTAAAATAAAATTTAAACATTCATTATTGCCTAATATAAACTTATTTTGAGCAAGTGATTGATATATAATTTTTAAGAAATTGATTCAAGTTGTGAGACCTCCTTAGTTGCATATAGAAAAAAATTGGAATTATATATTTTATATATGTTATAAAATAAAAACTTATTTTATTTATAAACATTTAAAAAATATCTTGAATTCAATAGAAGATAATTTTAGAATACTTGGTCTCAATTATTCATGTAAGGATTGTACAACAAACTTCTTCAGTTGTACAAAGTCAGGGTAATTGTGTTGTCCTGAACTCCTTCAACCATTGATATTTTTTAAAACCAAGAAAATGATGTTTACTCAAAGAAAATATAATTAGAAAGGCATATCAGTTTCAATAAAAGGTAGTGCATGCTAAAACCAAGAAAAAATATACTGAAATACCAGTATTTTTGTGGATGTAAAATGTTTATTTCATACATCAGCCAGCAGTGGTATTCACTTCCTGACTGTGTTCTGTCCCCGCCAAACACCCTTCAGTCCCTGATTTCCTTGCTGTAAGCCTCCTGCAGTTTTTTATAACTCAGTTCTTTCAACATCTCCCCTCTTTCATCTTCATCTGTCTTTCTCACCCTTCAAACCAGAAAAACTGTCAGAGTAGAAGAGCAGGGAGCTCTCTGAATCTGGTGCATCTCCCCTTTGGGAAAGTAGAAGAGTTAACCCCAGTAGAGCCATCCCTCCTGGTTGGGTGGGAAGGGAAATACTGATATCTATGACTAGGTTGCTGCCTAGAGGTGTGAGTGAAAGTTCTACAGAGTAGGGTGTGTGGGGGGAGGAAAGGAGCAGGTAGGGAAATGCTGAACAAATGCACAGCTGTAAGGATGCCATAGCACTGGGCAAAGGGAAAGTAGGAGACCTGAAATTGAAGAAAACTTTAGAGTGATTAGCTGCTAGAGACACGTGAAATGGTTAATTTGCGATCTGAAGCATTAAAATTTGATTTAGATTAATTATCCAGTTAATCCCTTTGTGGTGAAAATACTTGCTGAACAAATCTCTTCTCTACCAGAGAGTTCATACTGGATTAAAAATTTGGGGACAAGAAACATCTTTTTAGAATTCCTGTATCTCAAAAGGCAGAGGAAAATAACAGCAAAACAGTTTGCAATGTAAGCATGTCTGAGCATCTACTTCATTAATTTTCAAATAAGTCAAACGTGAATAGAAAAGTATTGATATTGATACAGTTAATTCGTTAGTACATGATGAAAACTGAAGATGTAATGGGAACAGCTTTCTATGAAAAACATCAACCGTTCCATATCAGTACAAAGATTGTAGTCCTTGTAGAAAAACAAAACTTGTTCAAAAGATTTCCCCCAAATTATTAACAAAACGTGAAGTAAACTTATTACACTATTCCCACTATTTCTTTGAGTAGTACCAAATTAGAAAGAACAACTAGAAAGGTTTACATAAAAATGTGCTAACTAATGACACTATTGAGGCACTTTGCTTTTTAAAATAACACAAAAATGAAATAGAATTTGATAGAGCTTGTTTTTTAAAAATAATTTATTTTCATTAGTACTTTATTTTAAAAATTATGTTTAATACTATTGTATTAAAATGATATATATATATATATTTTTTTCCTTTTTGTCTTTTTTACTGACCGGTAACGGGATCGCAACCCTCGGTGTCACGCCCGTACCGGGGACCGGCAACGGGATCGCAACCCTCAGTGTTGCACCTGCACCGTGCTCAGCCAGTGAGCGGGAATCGGTCTCCACATGGGATCTGAACCCTCAGCGGGAGCGCCGCCGCGCTCCCAAGCGGCGCACTCTCCAGTGCGCCACCAGGCCGGCCCTAAAATGATATTTTAAAGTTTATAATTTTATAAAATATATTTTAACTAATTTTGTTATAATTTGTAACTTTTTGTATTTGGAAATATTAAATATTTTGTTAAACTGATTTTTCAAGAAAAAATTTAATAATGCTCAGGAATTTTTAAATAAAAAACTATTGTTCATTGTGATGCAAAATAAATATCAAAACAGCAATATTGTCATTTTGCACTAGTATTGTAGTCACTATTTGGAGCTGTTCACATTTTTAAAAAATTTATAGAATCCAGTGCAAACCTTAGTGATGTTTGGTCTGCTGATACTTTTAGATATTCTCTCTGTACATTTCTCTTTAATAAGTCCTTAGTTATTACTAGCTTTTTTAGGAATATTGTGTTCTTTTTGCTGACTGATTTTTTAGACTTTAGTTCAATATTTTTCTTCCAAATATTTATCTGCAACTTATGTGCAAACATGTGGAGATTATTTTTTGCCTTTGTAAATTATCCTGCTCATAACTCTGTTAAACTTTATCCATTTTTCTATTTCTCAGTCATTAAGGTCCATATGAATTCTTATCCTGCTCTCCAAATTGTAATATAATTGACGGTTTTAGAAAGTATAAGTCAGGTTCATGATGTGAGTATATTTTTAGCATTAATATGAATGTAGGGAATAATTTCTCAAGCATATTACTCATTGTGTGTCATTCAGATGAAAGCAAACCATTGATAACTTTTCACTTTAGAATGGCTTCCAGCAAATTATGCAGAAAACAAAAAATGTTTAAGGTTTTTGTTTTCTCACTAAGAAGATGTAATAGAAGCAGAATATATTACAACTCTCATTTTATCATTACTAATGTTCTTACTGCAGAAACCATGTGTTACTTACCTTAGGTCAGATCTGGAAAGACCCTACCAATATCCAAGTTGGTGCTTTAGGATTTTACAGAGGTGTGTACAGCTGATATTATAAAGTAGAACCTTGGGCTGGCTGGTTAGCTCACTTGGTTAGAGCGTGGTGTTAATAACACCAAGGTCAAGGGTTCAGGTCCCCTTACCAGCCAAAAAAAAAAGAAAGAAAATACATTAGAACCTTGAAACTGGTTGCTTCCTTCTCAGCCTACTCCATTGCTTTATTTATGTACCAGCCTCATGTAGTGTAGTGTAATATGCTTTAATCCCCTGTGTCTAAGGCCACAGAACAGTGCTTTGCAATCAATAAGTACTCAATAAATGTTTGTTGAATTAAATTCTCTGTGAATGTATAGGTTACTGTTTTATTATGGAAGAAAAGGTTAGTCTAGAAGTATTTTAAAATGAAACAATTTTGTCAAAGTAATACATAGATAAAGTTTAAAATGTAGATGATACTACAAAACTTCAAATGGAAAACAGCAATACCCTCCCATCTTCTCCCCATCTTTCAGCCCCTGTCTCCATAAGCAGCTATCCTCAGCTCTTCTAGCTGGTTCTCCTGGCATTTCCTCTAGTTTTTTAAATAATGTATGTTGCTGCTGTTTCTCGATTTACCAATTTCAGGCATTATATTAACATGTAACTATGGAAAATACAGACTTCACTTTCCCTGATCATCTGCACTTTCCCTTTCGCTCCTTACAGTGAAGTTATGAATTTTGGTTAAATCAGTGATTTGTTTTAACACTATTATAACTATGTAGATAAGTTTGCTGCTGAGCTATGTAATAAATGATAGTGATCAAATGGCCTCATTTTTAATTTGCTTACTCTTCTGTATAAAATATTGTTATATTTTTCCAGAGGCTCCAACATTTCTACCACACTCTTTTTAACATTTATTGTATGTTAAAACACATCAGTTCCTTTTTATTTCTCTATTATTTTTATCTCTTATCCTCCTTTTTCCTGGATTATTCCCTGTTTGGTTGGAACATATCCAGTAGCTTATTGAGTTCATGGGGTGTAAATTTTTTGAGTTCTTGCATGTCTGAAAATATCTTTACTAGCTGGATAGTTTATATAGAATTCTAGGTTGAAAATTATTTACCCTCAGAATGTTTAAGACATTGCTAATTACCTTTTACTTCACTATGTTCCTGTTGAGAAGTCTAATACTTGTAGTGTTCTTATCCTTTGTGGTGATATGTTTTTGGTTTGTTTGGCTTTATCTCATTTCTGGAAACTTATCTCCAGAAGGTTTATCTCTGGAAGCTTTACTGTGAATCATAATGTGTGTACCCAACTCTAGTTTTTTGAACTGTGTACTTGATAGGCCATTTCGATGGAAATTCTGAAAATTTTTCTTGACTTATCTCTTTAATAATTTCCTTCCTCTCATTTTCTCTTTTCTTTCTTTCTAGATCTCTTATTAGTTATATATTGACTTTTCTAGACAAAATGCCTAATTTCTTTTTCTATTTCTATATTGTTATCTTTTTGTTCTAGTTTCTAGGGCATATCTTCCATTTTATTTTGTAGCCCTTTTATGGAATTTTAAAAATTTGAGCTCTCGTGCTTAATTTTAGAGAGTCCTTTCTTGTTTATTGATTGTTCCTTTATCAAAGCATCCTGTACTTGTGGGTACAGTAGCTTCTCTTATTTCTATGAGAAAATTATAGCAGATGTTCTTTTGTTGCCTTCAGTGTTTTTGTTTCTGCTGGACTTCTTTTTTCTCTTTGTTTGCTTTAGTTTCTCTTTTCTATCCTGGACATTTTTTTACTTTGGGAGTCCCTGTAAATAATATCCACTTACCCAAAGTTGGGAGCAATTGAGAAATAAACCTAAGAAACATTCAGATGGAGATAAATTATAGATAAAAGCTGGACTGACGGACAGAGCTTTTTAGATCTCTGACCAGGTTGGCTTTCTTATACATATACCTAGAATTGAACTTAGCCATGAATGGCTGTCAGAGCTGGGCAACTGCAGATCAGCCCTGCAGGGAATTTCCCTTACCACATTGCAGTGAGCATACATCTTGAAGATTTGCTTGCTCAGATGAAAGTCAGAGAGGAAGAGTCTGATCAGAACATGTCTAGTTCATGACTAGCTCAGTGAGTGCTGGGAGGGAGAGGGAGCTGAATCAAAGTCTTTACACGTATAAACATAAGGCCAGGGAAATGAAGAGCTTCCTCTCCCCTCAGCACCGTTCCTTAAATGTTGGAGATTCTTTTCTGTTCATCCTCTTTTAAATTGGAAGTTTTATATGCCTACTTCTAATATAATATCTGGCAAGCTTCACTTAGAGTGGTGTGGTGACAATTCAACATTTAGGTCCTGAGCTCCTAACCCTTCCTCCATCCCAATGTCAATATCCAAAGCTCTTTTCTCTGAGAGCATTTGGTTTTTCAAAAGGAGAATCCTTTGATCTATCCAGTGGGACATTTGTAGCTGCTAGCTTCCTGGAGGCGGAGCTAGGAGTCTGATCTTTCAGTATGTAGACTTTTATTTAATCCCTTAGTTTTAACCTCATCTTTAATACCACCTTTCAGTGTACCTTATGTTCCACAGTCTGAGACTACAAAAAAAAAGGTGGGGGGGATGGAGTTGCCTGGCCGTGAGGGCTGGAGGGTGGGGTGGGGGAACCTTGCATGACTGCTCCCTGTACATCCAGTCCTGTTTCAATCCAGCATTTCACCACCACCTGCCTCGTGCTTCTTGGCAGTGCCTCTTTGCAGGCATCTAAGGTGTCTCCCTTCCTCTGCCCTGCTGACTAAGTTACCATTCCACCATCATATGTCTTCCAAAATTTGTTGAAAAGTGTCATTCTTTATCATTTCTTCTTTTGTTGCCCCTTTTTATTCCTTTGCTATGATTTTAGGTTTTGGGAAGAAAAAGAAATAGAAGTGGTCAAGCCACCATATTTAACTGAAAGTCTAACAGGTTTTATTTTCACATAAACCCCAATATAAGGCCATTTTTAATGCTCTGCAATGTATTTCTGAAAACTTTTGTAAACTTGCCCTTATTGTTTATCTACTTTTCTGTTATCTTACATAACTGGAAATTTTGCCATTATGTACAAATGGGATTAAAATGAAAGCAGGCCCATATAGGAGTGTTGATTTACTGGGGAAATTTATGTGTTTTACTTTTGAAAATATTTTCCATAAAAGTAGTAGATGAGCTCTAGGGAGACTTTAAAGTAACCGTCATACTGTTAATTGTATTGATTTGTCTTACAGAGAGGAGAAAATTGGCAAAGCAGCCTGAAGCGATTTCTGTTGATGAACTCAAAAGTCTATTAATATTCGCAACAGAACACTTTTTAGTTAATTTTGATGCTGTTATTCCTAAAATAAATCTAAGACAGACAGACAAAATTAAAACCTCCAATATGCTAAATGGTAAGTTTCTTATTAATTTTAGTTACTTTACTTTTTTGTGTATGACATGTATGACAATTATTATTTATCATTAAAACTTATAAAACGTTTTGGTGGAATCAAAATGTAGTTTATAAATTTAAATGATATATATTTATGTATACAATTATGTATGTATATATGATGAGCTGTATTTCTCATCATTTAAAGACTTCAAACTTTCTGATAACTTCATTAGACATGTTCAGTATAATTGTTTTTGAGCAGAAGGAGAGGCATTTTAAGGTGATCCCTCTTATTAGTTTTACTAAGCTAGAATGGGTGGATTTCTATTAAGCTTAGGTTTCTTCTCTTTCCCCAAACCTCATAAAGTGAGGAGAATAAAAGCTACCCAGTAAATTTAATGCAGGTAAAACTACATATAAAATACTTTACATTTACCATTCATTAGAGCAGGAATAATAACCAAATTTCAATGAAGGAGCAGGAAATCATTTCTATATTTAATTGGATTTCTTTCTATTTTCCTGGCTTCCATTGTTGTGATGAATATGAATAGAGTGAATCTTTTGAAAATCTAATAAGAAAGCATATGAAGTTTGCCTGACACAGTCTTAAATGTACAGAGCAATTTTTTGCTTTTATTCTGTGAGAATCATTTTTATTGCATAGCTTAATGAGAAAATGACCACTGAATCAAGCTAACAATAATGTTTCAGTTGACTGCCTTTTCTGTGTTTGACATTGTGAAGATACACAAAGTAAAAATCTTTGTCCTTGGCTTTCAACAAACATGACCTATGTGAAAAGCGACATATAAAAAGAGCATATAATAGAGTTTAAAAGTGCAGGCTCTGTAGCTAGGCTGTCAGGATTCAAATCCCAGTTTCTTACTTGTTAGCTGAACGTCTTTGGGTAGTTATTTAACCTCTCCATGCCTTAATTTCCTCGTGTTTAAAATGGGGATAAAAATATAACCCACTTACTAATGTTATTCTGAGGATTAAATGAGTTGAAATATTTAAAACACAAAAGTGTCAGAAAAGTGTTAGCTGTCATTTGATTATCATCATAATCGTTACTTATCAGTACCAAAGTTAAATAGTAGTGCAGAGTAATCTGAAGGATGCTGGATATGTTGTTAGGTTACTTGTAAATGGGGACATTTTCAATAAGTGAGAGTGCACAGCTCCATAGTTACAGCCTGAACTCTGCAGCAACACTAGTGTATTGGTCCGTTTTGTGTTGCTAATAATAGAAATACTTGAGACTGGATGATTTATAAAGAAAAAAAAATTTATTGCTTACAGTTTCTGAGGCTGGGAAGTCCAAAGGCCATCTGGTGGTGGCAAAAGTGACCCAGGGGTCTCACATTGCAAGATGGTAGAAGCACAGAGAGCAGAGAGAGAGAGAGAGAGAGAGAGAGAGAGAGAGAAAGACCCTTCTCTTTTAAAACCCTTAGAAACAGGCCCCTGACCACCATTTTTAATCCATTCATTAGGCATGGTCCTACAATCCAATCACCTCGTCAAGGCTCCACCTTTTGATTACCACAATAGGATTTCCCACCCTCTTAACAGTCACAGTGGGGGCTAAAGTTTCTAATACATAAAACTTGGGGGACACAATTCAAGCTTTGGGGAGTTTTGAGGGGATGTAATTCAATCCACTATAACTAGCAAGGTTTAATACCACCTCTGCAGTGTGCTTGCTATGTGACCTAGGGCATGTTTTCTGACCTCTTTGAGCCTAAGGTTGTTTTTTTTCCTTTAAATTACAATGACAAGTTGTCATAAACATTAAATTAGTTACTTGTAAGTTGCTTAAAATGTTGCCTGGTATGAAGTAAGTGGTATATGTTTGTTGGTTAAATAACTAAATATGAATTTAGAGGAGAGGACTATAACTAGGGTAGAATAGTCACAGAAGGTTTGTTAGGACCTAAGGGACTTGAGATAGGTCTTGAGTGATACATAAGATCTAGATAGACTGAAGATAGGGTTTTCCAGGTAGAAGAAGCAATACACCCAGAGTCGTGAGGTAAGAAAAAAAAGCAAACAGGTCGAGAGAGGCTGGCTTTCCAGAGGATTTGTACAGGAGGTATGGGTTGAAAGGAAGAGCTCAAATAATTACTAGAGCTTTTATATAAGTTTAGGGTAATGTATCCTAGAGTTAACTGTACAGACTCAAGTTCTAGGACACTGTTAACGAATTAAGCCTACGGGAGTACTCATCTTAAAATGTAAGTCAGACCATGTTGCTCCTTTTGCTCAAACTTTGCTTTCAAATGCACATAGAGTGCGTAGTTCTTAAATGGCTCATAAAATTTTTAAGTGATATCTGGCCTTGTGCTTATTGTAGCCCTCCATTGTCACATTTCTGTTGCCTTGTGACCATGGAAAGTCTTTTTGTTCTTTGGACAAAAAAGTTTCCACTTCAGGAACTTTACATATGCAATGTCCTCTGTCTGGAATCCTTTTCTCCCAACCTTTACCTATGAACTGATAGTCATTCTTCAGATCTCAATTTAAAGGTCACTTTCTCAAAGAGGTTTTCTCAGACCTTTCTCAGTTTAAATTGTTTCCTATTGTACTCACTCCCTATAGTTTTTCTTCAAATTATTTATCGCATTTTAAAATTATGTACTTTTTACATAATTATTTATTAAATACCTGTCTTCCCTTTAAACCCTGTGTCCTCTAAGAGTAAGGAACATGCCTGCTTGCTTTCCCATGTGTCCCCAGAGCCTACTATAGTACCTGGCACATAAGATTAATATCTCATCAAAATAATTGTTGAACAGATGAAAGGAACTCTGAAGATTTTTAGAACCTGAACTGAAATTTGACAAGTTACATGTGTGAACATGACTTCTAAGAATAAAGTTGTGATTTTTAACATTATTTTTGTAGCTTTGATTTGAACAAGTACATCTACATGTAAATTTCATAACAAAAGAAATAGTAAAATCAGTCATGTTTTATATTCTGACCCATTATCTGCAACCATGCACATTAGAAGTTATCAGCAATTGGTAAAGTTATTTGATCTGCTCATTTTTTTTGTAAAAACTCTAACATGTGTAACAAGTAACAAGTCCGTATATAAAAAATGTCTTAATCTAACCGTTTGTGCAACCATGCACATTAGAAGTTATCAGCAATTGGTAAAGTTATTTGATCTGCTCATTTTTTCTGTAAAAACTCTAACATGTGTAACAAGTAACAAGTCCGTATATAAAAAATGTCTTAATCTAACCGTTTGATTTACTCATTGTTACAAGGTTGCTAAATACTTTCACAATGTCGTATGTGAACTGAAGATACAATACCTATTTTCTTTACCTGGGACCATTGGGGCACATAAACACTCTGCATAAAATGAGTTTTCTAATTTTATAAGATCATAATTTTATTATTTCAAACGTTTTAAAAAGAGTCTTCTATAAAAAGAATGTGTTTATAATTCTTGCCTTATTAAACAGAATATACCAATTATAATATAACCTTTTCTTCGTGATTCATTCATATTTAGGTATATAAGGTTATAATGGCTATATTCATTAACCACATATTGTCATCAGTGATATTACTAACTTTTTGTTTGCTGTGATTTGTGATTTTGTAGGTTACTTTTTCCTACTTCCTTACTATATTGTTTCTATTTCTTTGTTTCTCCTGTAAAGTAAAACACTTTTTTTTAAAAGCAGTTTTCTGGGTTTCTCAGACAGCTTTTTTGTGTTTTTTTTTTTAATACTCAACCGTTAGATTCATTTTTTATTTAAAAATAGATATTTACGAGCAATATAATTGTAGTAAAGAACGTTACAAAAGTGCAGCAAAGGAAAAGAAAAACAATGCAAAAACCATTTTCATCTTACATTTTTAAAAATCTTTTCTTAATAATATGTATTTTATTG